GGGAGGATGGCAGCAGAGGTGGCCAGAGCAGAAAGCCAAACGATCACATCTTCAAACAGGCACAGGAAGCAGAGAGACTGGAAATCCTGCAAGGCTTAAGAACTTTCAAGGCCTGCCCCCAGTGATGGGCTTCCTCTAGCAAGGCTGCACCCCCTAAAACCTCCCAAAACACCACCACCAACTGGGGACAAAAGGTCCAAATACTTGGATCCTATGGGGGACATTTTCATTCAAACTACCACAACATGTATGTTTATCTGTAGGGGGACATGGATACACGTAGAAACCTTATATGAAGTTGATGAACCAACAACTCTCATTTCTCAGTCATTTTAGCTCTAAGTGCTCGTCGCTTCACCCTTTTCATGAGTTGAACGTTATGACCATTATTAGCCTAAGCTGATCAGAACATTAGCACAGTGAGATGATCATCATGTGAAACATGAACACTGCTATCAATACCATCCTCGTTCAGCCACCGTCACCATCAATACCACAATCACTATCATCAAATCATCATCACAGTCACCATCATCATCAGTATCATCAAGGCCATCATCCTATCACCACTACCACCACCACCATCGTGATCATGATCATCACAATCACCACCATCACCATCAACATCATCAACATCATCCTCATCCCATTACAATGGCTATCGTCACCATTGATACCATAATCACTATCATCATTGATATCATCATCATCCTCATCCCATCAACTTTACCACCATCATCAGTATCATAATCACCATGATCATCAATAGCGTCAGCATCACCCTCACCAGTATCACCATCATCACCTTCGTCATCACCATGATTTCATCTATATCGTTACCGTCTAATGGTAACCATCACCTTCACCATATCATTAGTATCGTCAGTATCACCTCCCATCTATGTCAATATCAGCAGCTCCACCATTATCAAAATCATGTCACCATCACCTGATAGCACCATAGTAACAGCAGGTAATGCTTATGTATGTACCTTACTCTACATGGCAGGCAATGTTACCCCCACCTTCTATGAAGTAGGTACTAGACTGATGCCCACAGACAGAGATTAAGTGATGTGAATCCCAGCACTCTGGCTTCAAAGTCTATTCTTTTAAAAAATATTTTATTATTTATTATTATTTTTATTTTATGTGTGTGAGTGTATTGCCTGCATGTATGTGAGTGCACCCGTGTCGTGCCATGCTGCGGAGGTCAGAAGAGGGCTTAGGATTCCCCTGGAACTGGAGTTAAGGACGGTTCGTAGCTGCCATGTGGGTGCTGGGAATCAAACCCAGGTCCTCTGCAAGAGCAGTCAGTGCCCTTAACTGCTAAGCCATCTCTCTAGCCCCTCAAAGTCTATTCTTTAATGACGCTGCTCAGCTGAATAAGGTCCACGGCAGATACACAGCAATGGGCCTGCCACACCTGGGCTCTTATACCAACCCCAGCAAGGCCCTTCTAGCTCAGGCTTCCACTGGCCCATCTCTAAACTAGCAAGTGAACATCTGGGTGATCTCTGAGCTCCCTCAGGCCATGTGGCCTACCAGCCCCTCCAGATGTGTCTGCACAGTCTTTTGAGGGAAGCCAGCTTGGGGGAATCTTATGGCTCTCAGTTAACACTCCATCAGGCTGTGTTGATGCCAACCATTGCCTGTGTGTGAGCATCCAGATGTAAGACAAACAGGACAGGGTCCACTCAGGCCCTCAGAACCCTAGTCAGCCAGCATTCATTCATAGGGGTTCCTAATAGTTATTCTATATCCTACCATCCTTATCATCATAAGCCTGAGTTAAGATTCCCACAGATAAACAACTCCAGTCCATAGGACACCACCAGCTGACAAGCTTCTGGGAAGCAGGGATGCGTAGTACCATTACCTCCAAGGTACGTGGCACTGAGGGACTCCGAAAGGTCTACCAACTCACAAGCGCGCTGAAGCACACTGGAGCCCACACTTACTCTGAGAGCAGATGGTGGTTGTTAATAACACCTTCATCTGCATGTTGAACTTCCACTGACTACTGGGAGTCAGGCACTGAGGCCGGCAGGCTTCATACACTGCACTGTGTCTCACAAGATGAGTGGGGAAGAGTTTGTGCCCACAGAACCAAAGGAGAAACTGAGGACAAGTCATTGCTGTGTTCACGTCAGAGGTGGGCTGGAGCCAGGGCTTCTTTGCATAGAACAGGCTGTTGTTCTCTGTCCCCCACTTACATGATACAGGGTCAAAGCGACACCATCTCAGGGAGTCTCCCAGGGAACCCCATGCTCCCCACTTCCCACCACCCTTCTCCACTCACTCGGGTCTCACAAATTGCTCATCTGAACTCCAGTCTGGGCCAGAGTGCTGATTCGGGCTAAATGTTTTCCATAGGCCAGTGCTAGCGCCAGGCTGTGCCCCAGGAATGGAGAGCAGAGTGACAGACTCTGTGAGGCTCCCAAGCTCCTGGAGGTACGGCCCAAGCCAGACAGCCCAAGAGTGAATGCCCCAACCGCAAACCTATGGTAAGCCCTCAGTAAACAAGCTCAGGACTAGTGGTAGAGAGAGCATAATGGACACTTAATGTACCTTGTGTAAGGGGGGGATCAGGGAAGGTTTCTTGGAGGAGGCAAGGGAACCTTCCTCAACAGGGACTCAGAAGCACGAACAACCCAGGTTGCGTGTGTGTGTGTGTGTGTGTGTGTGTGTGTGTGTGTGTGCGTGTGTGTGTGTGTGTGTGCACATGTATGTCCATGTGTGTTTCAGGAGGTGAAGGAGGGGCCTGACTGGAGAGATGGAGACTCTGTTAACTTCTGCAGCACAATTCCCATAGGGCATTCCAACTTCCCTCTGGAGCAGAGGTGGGTATGAGGTCCACAGAGCCAAGTGGCAGAGTTGGGCTGGGGACAGAAGAGTCTGGCTCTTGGGCTGGTTGTAGAGTGCTTACCTAGCATGCAGGAAGCCCAAAGTTCAATCCCTAGCACCACATAAACCAGGTGTGATGGTGCACATCTGTAATCCCAGCACTCCAGAGGTAGAGGCAGGAGGACCAGGAGTTCAAGGTCACCGTCAGATACGTAGCAAGTTCAAGGCCGGTTTGGGCTACATGAGATTCTGTCTCAAAACTAACTAAATAGATAAGGCTCAGGGAATCTGTCAACATGGGGAGTTCAAGTTGTGCTCTGAAGGGCTTCAGGGGAACAGGCAGGAGACAATGCAGGCTTCCAGGGCAGGAGACGGATTGGAGGAAGGGCATGTCAGCTCAGCGGCATCAGCCAGCAGAGGGGGTGTGTGTCAATCATGGCCCTCCTTTGCTGGGACACTAGGTCTGGGGGCCAGGTAGAGGACCAGAAAGTAGTCATGCATGCATGTGCACATGAAGACACACAGACATAGATACAGACACAGACAGACAGACACACACACACGGTCTGGGGGCCGAGCAGGGGGCCAGAAGACAGTCATGCATATGGGTACACAGACAGACAGACAGACAGACAGAAAGACAGAGACACACACACACACACAAACACACACACACACACACACACACACACACACAGAGTCTGGGGGCCAAGCAGAGGGCCAGAAGGCAGTCATGCATATGTGTATACACACAGGCACACATACAGAGACATACACACACATACACACATACACAACACCCTCACTTGGACCCTCCTACTACCCTCCAGGTCCTGCCAGCAGCCAGGCCAGCCTGCCCCACCAGCTTCTTGCACACAGCTAGCTTGTTCTTTCTGCCTAGCCTCCTCCCAGAGGTCTGTGGTTCGTGCTAGCTCCCCCCGACCTGCAGCCAGGGAACAGTCCACACCAAGCAGGACCCAGAAAGATGCCATCTGCTTGGTTCTCAGTCCAAAGTAGAAGCTCAGTAGAAGTGATGGGTCCAGTGAGGTCAGCATGCCCAAGGCCATTGCTGCAGCTATAAGACCCCGAGCCCTGCAGACCTTGGTAAGGAGAGAGCAGGAACTTGTCCCTTTTCACTCCATGCTTCCTCAATGTAATCTCACGGAAAACCGAGACCCAGGGAGGAGAAACTAGGCCACTAGGGTGCCTGAGTGTGGACCTGAAGCCCTGGGTTTCAATCCTCACTGCATCGCTGGGACACGTAGGGAACTCTGCCGTAGATATGTACCTGGTTTTCCCTCATCTCTACATTGGGAGCAGATGGGAAGATCTGGGTGAGTAACTCCATCTAGGGGGCACATAGGTCATGGAGAGCAGCTTATAGCTTCCAACAGCCAAGCTCTGCCCAATACTCTGGGGTCAGAATGACCACAAGACCCTCATGGACAGATGCTCTGTCTGGCTCAGAAAGTCCTGGCTCCCAGGACCATTGAAGCTGTGCTTTCTTTGGTACGGAGTCTGTTTCTGTTCTTTGGTTTTGCTTTTTTTGAGGCAGGCTCTCACTATATAACCCAGTCTGGCCTCCAACCCACTGTGTAGCTCAGGATGGCCTCAGACTCTAGATCCACTTGCTTCAGTTTCTTGAGTGCTGGGATTTTAGGTCTTTACCACCTTGCCTACGCTGGGGCAGGAGTTTCTAATGACGGGCCATCAACATTGGGACCCCAGGTGTAGGGAGGAGAGGCTGGACAGACAGAGGAATGGCTTGAATCACGCATTCTGTCCAGCCTCACAGCTGGGTCATGGGGAGGTCCTCTGGGGAAATTTCAGGCTACACAGATGCACAAATAGATGTTCAGCTTACACAGGATGGTTGTGATCAGAGGCAGATATGCAAATAGTCAACCTTGCTAAAACCTGGGTGACGATCAAGCACCCCATGTTTCCATCCTTTACCCTCTAGGGTAGAGGCCACATTTCCAGAAAGCCAACAGGCCCCTGAGAGCAGGAAAAGATGGAGCAAAGCTGGATGGTCCATGTCCACAGCCCTGGGCTACAGGCCCATGTCCACAGCCCTGGGCTACAGGCTCAGGCAGGCCTTGGCGACCTCCCTCTGGCCCAGGCCTGGCAGGGGAGGGCCGGGTAGGACTCACCTTCACACTGTCTCCCTTCCCCCTTGTAGCCAGGTTTGCAGAGGCATTTGTAAGACTTTGGCGTGTTCTGGCAGATGGCGTCGATGTGGCAGTCATCCGTGCCCTCTGAGCACTCGTCCACGTCCACAGCTCCTGTGGGGGAGGGGAAACTGCAGATGAAGTATGCTGGGAAGAAGTCAGAGATGGTGCCGGAAGCTCTCCCCTCCACCTTTCTGTTGATCACCCAGGTGACTAATATTAACGATCACGTGGCAATCTGGTGACAAGGGGTAAGTCCTTATCAGGACTTGTCATCCTTGAGGCCCCTGTTCTGTACCAGGCCCATGCTACCAACAAATCCAGTCTTTATTTCTACAATAATCCCATGGGGTTAGTATCCCTACTCAAGAGATGGGGAAACAGGGTTAGGGACAGTGGAAATCAAAACCTCTATCGTGCTGTGGTTTCCCTAACCCTCCACATTTCTCATTTTTTAAGAGCCCTTCAGAAACTTAAATCTAGCTTTCTGAAAAAGTTGCAGATAAGGAAACTAAGGTGGAATTGGTTTGGAGGTTCAGGGGCGAGCACAGCCCATCCAGGGGCCTCCCGAACGTGACCTGAACATGGGGTGCCACCACGCTCTGAGGCAGTGGAACTATGGAGGGATTCTTCCCTGGGGTCCCTGGCCCCAGAGTGGAGGGTCCTCTGATTGGCCCTTTCACTCTGATAACCCAGGCTCGATGCCTCCTGTCTGCTCCTCTGCCTCCCCTGCCTCAGAAATCCATTTCTCACATCCTAGCTCCTAGACCCCCTGTACCATCTAGGTTTGAAGGGCTCTGGCATGCCCTACCTCCTGCCCCAGCACATAAGCACAGGAAGCTGTTGTTGGGGTTGCAAGGTAAAGGAGATTTAAAAATTTTTATTTTATGTGTATGAGTGTATTGCCTGCATGTAGGTAGGGGCACCATGTCGTGCAATGCCCACGGAGGTCAGAAGAGGGCGTCGGATCCCCTGGAACTAGAGTTACAGATGTAACCTTGTGGGTGTTGGGAATTGAACCCGGGTCCTCTGCAAGAGCAGTCAGTGCTCTTAACCGCTGAGCCATCTCTCCAACCCTGATAAAGGAGATTTTATTTTTATGTTCTCCCTCTCTCTCTCTCTCTCTCTTTCTCTCTCTCTCTCTCTCTCTCTCTCTCTCTCTCTCTCTCTCTCCCTGAAGCCAGTGAGTTGTGTTACATCTATGTCTCACTGAAGCTCGACTCCAACATGGAACGAGTCTATCTGGGTGTCACTCCACTTCCAGCTGGCTGTGACCAGCACACAGATGGACAGGCAGAAGGACTCAGGTGAGCAGCACAAGGGACCCTTTAGCAGCTGCCCCGAGGACAGCCCCCTAGGAGGCTCCAAATGCCCCCATCTCTCTATCCATCTGGCCTCACCCTCGACTATAAGGTCCCCAAAAATGTCCAGTTTGAATTCACCCTGGCTGGACTCTGGGCTCTAGATCTATGCCTATCTGCTCCTCCCACCCTTGGGACTCTTTTCTTCACTCTAGCCACATCAAAGACACACACACACACACACACACACACACACACACACACACACACGTGCACACAGCATCACTTCTCAGGATTGCCATTTCTGCTCAAGTAGGCAGTCCTACAGATGTCCAGAGGCAAAGCTAAGAGGCAGGTGGTACAGGAGACCAGTGAGCACACAGCCAGGACTAGCAGGAGTGTTGGGGAGGAGCCTTCTGGGGAGATGGTCACAGAAAAACCCAGGGTGGGGGTGGCACTGCTTCAAGGAGGGAAGCCAGAGGCCAGAGAGGGCCAGTCTGCATGGGCCACATCTGAGAGAGGGCCAGCAGGCAGACTGGCCACAGATAGGGCTCTTCCCATCCCCCAGGGGGCAGGAAGCCACCTGGGGTTCTGTGGTCCCCTTTACTTTCACCCTCCATCTCCCACCAGAGAGAAGTTGGGAAGGGCTGGTGGGGCTGTCTGCCATGAAAATTATAAACAAGGGGAGGGGAGCTCCTGAGCCTGCTGGAGCCAGGCTGGAGCCAGGCTGGAGATCGCTGTGCAGCCCTCCAAGGCAGGCTTGCTCACTTCAACTTTGGTTTCCTGTGTGAGCCCAGCTGCTGGGGATCCACAGTTACCCAGCTTCCAGGAGAAGAGGGACAGGAGGCAGAGGCAGACCCCACACAGACACCAGGAGGGACAGAGGAGGAGGGAGAGCCACATAGCCACAGTCCACAGAGGTGAAGGACTCCAAGGCCTAGGAGAAACGGCCACAGACATGTCCAGTCCAGTCAGCCCAGATTCTGAAATGGGGGCAAGGAATAAAGCTCAGTTCCACGGGTGAAGTAACAAGGACTAGCATAAACTGCCTGGCACCGGCTGCTGCGGGGGACTCCCACAAACAGAGCCAAAGACAGATAAGATAGCAGGAGACTCAGGGGAGGGAGCAGGACCCTCTCAACCCTCTCCAAGGAGAACAGGGATGATGAGATGTGAGAACAGAGGGTGGGAGTCCAGTTCTGGTCAGCCCCTTCCAGGAAACCCACATCAGAATAGGACACCCTCAACCTTGCTCCTGCCGCCTGCCTGACCCCAGGCTGGCTGGCTTCCTCCCGAGCCTCTCTCTCCAGGATGTCCTCGCCATGGAGGGTCCGGCTTTGGTCTCCTCTCAGTATGTCCCCAACCACCTCCTTCCCAGTCTCTCCGCCTGCTCGGGTCTGACAGTCCATCTGTCTATCTCTTCCCAGGCATCTCCATCCTTCTTCTCTCCCTGGGTCCCCTCCCTCGGCGCCGCCCCTCCGAGTCCTCCCGTCTCTCTGTCTGGTGTCCATCTGTCTCTCCCTCTCCATCCGTAGTCCATCCCACCGTCCCTCGGCTTTGATCTGCCTCCTCGCTCCCCTCCCTTGCCTCCTCTCCCCTCTTCCCTCCCGCGTCTGTCTTTCTGGGTCCTTTTGTCTGTGCTCCGCGCCGCCTCTCCCGTCCGTCTGTCCCTCCATCTCCCACCTCTGCTCCCCGTCTCCATCCGTCCTTTCTGCCCACGTCGGGCGTCTCCTCCGCGGCCGCTGCGGGGTCCTCGGGCCCTAGGGGGGAGCACCCGTCTCGGTTCGGGGGTCTCCGTCCGCCTCGGTGCGCACGCCGGGCCCCGGCAGCCGGCCGTCGCTCTTTCTTTCTTCCTCCGGCCTCCCGCTTCCCCTCCCGGGGCCTCAGCGCACCCCACCCCCCGCGGGCCCCGGGAGCCCCGGGCGCCTCGCACAAGTTACTTTGCAGAGAGGGGGGACGGGGCGCGGGGTGGCGGCCCGCGGGTCCCGGTGCGCCCCAAGCCTGGCATCCCCGGGTCCCCGCGCCTACCTGGGAGCCCGCTGCCCCCAGCCAGCCGCCCGCGCGCGCCCAGGGCGAGCAGCACGCACAAGTGCCAGCGCACGGCCGCCGCGCCCATCTCGCTGCGGGCCCCGCCGGGCTGCGGGCGTGCGGGGCGCGGGACGCACTGAGCGGCCGCTCCGCGAGCGCTCCAGGCGGCTCCGAGCTCCACAGCGCTGGGGCTCCGGAGCCACCAAGCCGGCGCGGCTGACGAGCTGACAGCCGCGCGCTCATTGGCCCGTGGCTCCTGGGGGCGGGGATCCTCGGAGAGACTGTCCAATGGACGCTTGGGGGCGTGGTTAGAGTCCGTTCGGACCCGCCCCCTCCCCGGGGCGGGCGGCAGGTGGGGGGTGGGGGCCCGGGTCGCGGGGCAGGGTGTCACCCAGGCACTCACTGCAGGTCCCGCCGCGTGCTGCGCCCGGGGTCCCGTGGTGGAGGGTGGCGGTCTCCCGGGGGCAGCATCCTCCACCCTACGGACACGCAATCCCTGGAGGATAGGTGGAGGAAGACCTGGCTGCACCCAGGGGTGGGGAAGGCGATGCCGGGTGCACGCAGCAGTCCCGTGGGCATTTATTGAGCACCTTCTGGGTACCCAGCCTTGCCCTGACTGTCGCGCACTAGGCGGGCGTGGAAAATTCGCGAAGATGGTTCAAGATTTATGTGCAAACCCAAAGTAACTTTTTAGTACTCCTCCAAGACAGCGGTCCGTGGGAGAGCTTGTCTCGAGCAGCCGCGCCATGCGTCTGGGTCGGGGCGCTCTGGGAGCTGATGCGTGACACAACCCCGCGGTCAGACCCCTGGGGTGCGCTCGGCCGGGGTACTCGGCGGCCCTCCCCAGTGACGCGTGCCGCCGCCCGGCCAAGGCAAAGGCTGGGGGCCCGGTAGCCCTGCGGTCACCTGCCCCACAGCCTCGGCCCGCCCTCGGGGTCTACACCTGATGCCCTCGGCCTTGGGGTCTGGCTCGGGCCTGTCCGCTGCGAGGCTGGGAGTCAATGGCCCCTCTCAGCTCTGGGAGGCAGGAGGTCGAAGGAAGAAGCAAACCCCAAGGTCCATCTCCTTGACAACCACCAATAAGAACTCCTTTTTTTCTTCTCCTGCTCTCCAGGCCCGACTCAAAGACAGGACTTTTCTCTTTCTGTGCACTCTGCCTGCGCAGGGTTGTGCCCAGTGGCTCCTCTGCCACCATCATCAAGACCCTGGGGGGCTAAATCCATGTCCCCAGCTCCTGCCACCAGCCACACTTCCCACGGGCTTGTGGCACTGGCCTGGTGCCTGAGGCAAGGGATCCCCCTGTGGGGAAATGATTCTGGAGGAAGGGGGCCTAGCCTTTGTGGGGACCCAAATTGTACCCTACCACGCCATGCACTTTCCTCCTGGTTGCTCCTTGCCAGGTAGTTTAATTTGAGGGACCCAGTTACACGTGACATCAAGACAGCCAGTGTGTTTGGGGAAATGTTTTCAAAGGGGCTCTGACTTCTTAGCATAGTGTTCTTTCATGGATCTGTTCTTTAGGGGTTCCTACCCCTGTTCAGGTGTCCTCTAAGCTGAGAGCAGTCAGGAGACCTTCTGGGCTCTGTCTCTCCAAATCAAGGCAGGGAAGGAAGCCAGGCATAGCTTGGGACCTCCCCACCCCATTGCCACAGGAATTCTCCCCAGCCTGCCCCCCAGTAACTGCTCAGGTCAAGTTTGCTGAACTAACACTTCCTTAAGGTGTGGGAAGAAAAGTGGTTCCTTTTAGGAGAGAGACTGTTGTGTGCATGGATTCCTCCAATGTACAAGGAAAACTTCATAGAAAGAATGTACCAAGGGCCACAGAGATGAAGACCCAGCAAGGGGGTGAACAAGGGAATGTTCTGGAAGTGGGTTGAAAGCTGTAGAGTGCCGTGTGGTGTGTGAGTGATGGTTAGTTTTAACTCATCTTGAGACAACCTGAAATTATCTGGGAAGAGAGTCTTAAAGGAGGAATTGTACTGATCAGGTTAGCCTGTGAGTGCTTCTGTGGGAGATTTGTCTTGACTGGCAATTGATGTGGGAAGACTCTGTGGATGGTACCATTCCCTAGCAAGAGGTCCTGGACTATATGAGTCCTGGTGACAGGATGGAGGGCTGCCCGCAGAGGCTGATGTGTCTCTACTGGGATGGGTTGGGAAACCAGGGTAAGCACCACGACTCCAGAGAGCAAGGGCCACCCCACAAAGCTGAGCTAAGAAAGAGGAGACTATTTGCTTTGGGAGTAGACAGGGTTCTCTCACCTTCCAAGCCGTGGGCCTTTTGCCTGGCAGTGAGGGTGCCTGCATCCTCCTCTGAGGTCCCAGCTTGATTGACCACTGACAAGGAAGCCTGGAAGACAGCCTGCCTTAATGCACCCCCTTAAACCAATGCCCACTCTGCCAAGATGGCCTTTGTTCCCCTGCTCGGCCGACATCCCAGTCCCTAGCCCACACCTCAAACTGGGTGGAGGGCTTCCTTCAGGCTCAGACAGTGGCCGTGCCTCCTAGGAGCTCAGCTTACCCTGGGTTTCCCCTCTGTCTCCACCCAACCCAGGGGATCTGAGAACCTGACTGTGGCTATAGTTCCCAGAGGGAGCTGAGGAAATTATCGTCAAGTGAACACATGAATAAATGATTGCATGAAAAAGAGCACAGAAACAAGCCAGGGAGGGCTAACTGTGAATCCCTGTTGCTCTAATGTGAGGACTCTGGCTGTGTCAGGGACTTGAGAATGAACTCAGCTGTTGCCTTGCTCCTGGCCAACCCCACTTTCTGTGCCTGGTGGGGAATCTAGGCTGGTCCACACAGCCTGAAGCCTTGGTGCCCAGAGCAGGCGACCTCGGACCTGGGGCCCTTTGGCTCCCCCTGGTGACGCTTCACAGGAGGCTGTACTGGTCAGAGGAGCTAATGAAATCCCTTCTTCCTTTCAGGGGCACTCTCTGTGAAAAGTCTTGGGCACCGAACCCAATGGGCCTGGGCTCAGATCACAATATGGGTGATGACCCGCCCTGTGACGGTATCTTAGTCACTGACACTTGGGCTGCATGGTTCCTCAGCCTGGCTAGCGTCTTCCAGTTATTGGGAAGATAAAAGCAGGCAGGCATGATATGGGACTCTCTGAGCCATGTTCTCCTAGATGAATTTCTCTGCAAGCATTATAATGTCATTACCCAGATGTTAAGCCTCATTGTTGATGACTCTTAGGACTTTTGTCCCTTTTTCTTAAGAAAAATAAAATTAGAAAGGGGGCCACACACCTTTTATCCCGGCACTCAGGAGGCAGAGGCAGGCATTCTCTGGATGATCCTGGGTCAAGGCTTGGACTGTCAAGTGAAGGTCTCAGTCCTCGGGTACTTGTGACCCAGACTCTGAGATGTCCCCCAGTATTATGACACTGAATCTTCTGACCCCTCCCCAGGTGTAACTATAGCTAGCTACCACCTGTTGAGCAACCAGGTGTGCACCCCATCATTTACTCCTGTGATGTCCTCCTATGGTCCCCACTGAACCCCTGGGAGGATAGATCCTATGTCCAGGATCACAGTTACCAAATGTCAGAGGTGGGATTTGAACTTGGGTCTGGACAAGCTGTTCATAAAACACTGAGGTCAAAGAGGCACCGTGGCAAAGGTGGACATTCTTCACTATAAGACTTCGGGGTTGACTGCTTTCGTCTCAATATCAAGGAGAGTGGTTTCTACACGGTGCTTAAACTGTAGCAGGGCCCGACTTAGGTCTTAACCGGTTTTACTGCTCTGTTGCTTTCTTCCCCCAAACTGTGAGAACTCTTGGCCATCCCTGCCATGCCAGGAGGCACAGGTCTCAGGATGGCTCTGGAAGGCTTCACAGAGGCTCCTAAGAGCAGCCGGGAACCAGTGGCTCTTCTGGCAGTTTACACAGCAGCCCCTGGTCCCTCCCTGTGCAGCACACTTGAACTGACACATGACTACCGCATAATGGACACAAGGACATGAAAGCTGCAGGCTGGAAACGCCCCAGCCTGGGCTCTGTATTTGAAAGCCGGGGAAACTAAGGCCCAGCCTCACTAATCCACCATCCCTTGTTTTTGCTTTGGTGTGAGATAAAGTCTCACTATGTAGCCCCAGTTGGCTTGGAACTCTCCTGAACGCTGGAGAGATCTGCTGGGATTAAAGGTGTGTTCCACCACTCTGGGCTCCACTGGCCCTTGGGCACATCCATCTAGTGCCACCTCAGAAATGTCAGACTCCACCCTGGGGACCATCAGCACCTCTTTAAAGCCTGCCTCTGCCTCGACACACACACACAGTCACACACACACACACACACACACACACACACACAGTCACAGTCACACATGCACACACCAGGCAAGACTGCATCCAAAGCTTTCCTCTCTCCCTCCACCAGTCCTGGCTTTGTAGAGGAAATATCAGTTTTCCCTCAGTGGCTCCACAGAGGTGAAGGCTCACACTTGTGAGGCTCAAGTGCACTCCCACAGACCTCTGTGTCCTCAATGTCATGTTGCTCTGCCTCTGAGCTACAGCTCACACCCTTCCCTTCCTTTGTAATGCCTTTCCCAGTCCCCTGGTCCTGCCCTCAGAGCCCAAGCCCTATACTGGGGCCCCACTGTTCTCTGCATGACTCACATTGGGTGACACACTGCTTGGAGAGCTGCAGCCTGGGTTGATAACTCCATCATCCCTTGGGCAGGTCAGTCAGACAAGGTGGTCACCTAGGGTTTCTTCTAGACCTTCATCCCAAGCCTCAGAGGTCAACAGGTTAGTGACTGCTGCATCCCCTTCGGCCATGCAGTTGGTTCAGGCAAAGACTCGGGACTAGGCCACACCTGTCAGATGCTTCCCTGGGCCTCTGAGGGTGGAGCTATGGCATGGTTTCTTCTCCAGGGGTGGATGCTGCTCAGTCACTGAGAGAAAGGATCCTCAGAGAGAGAAGCAGGGGGAGAGATGGGAGGAGACAGGGAGGAGGGGAGGGGGGAAGAAGAGGGAGAGGAGGGGGAGGAAGAAGAGGAGGAGGAGGAAGAAGAGGAGGAGGAGGAAGAGGAGGAAGGGGAGGAGGGGGGCAGGAGGAATTAAGCCCTTGTCCCAGTCACCCTGCTCTTAAGACAGCTGCATTGGTTTCTCTCGCTTGCAGCCCAATGGCCCCTGCTCAGCCCCTGCTCAGCCCCCTGCTCA